TCTATCTCGCTAATCAGTCGTTGCACATCATTTAAGTTACCACAAATATATGAAATCCATGCTTTATCCGCAAGAAGCACTACCTTGTCACCAATCGCCCAGTCATTATTACCTATTTCTAACTTGTTGTCACGTAAAGCCTCGTCGATCCACTTCAAAGATTGTTTCTTGTATTTCGTGGAATTGCCTTCCAGATCTGACATGTACAGGAAGCTTTTCAATGCCTTGGCTGGTACTCTCATCTCATTTGGATTGGATAGCAAATGCTGATCAATATATCGCATATATTTCTGTTTACGTGGTAGACAAAAATATAAATGTATAGTAAGTAACGACACTGGATTGAAGGAACAATTATCTATTCAAACACAGTAACAACGTGTTATACTGCATGTGATTACACCTTTCGTTCGGTTATTTTTAACTTTCTAGTCAACTTGAACCGATGCATTGCCTTTTATATTCATGTGGAATGTTGAGAACTATGAAATACGTATGACTGAGTGGCCGCTGTAATATATATAACCCTATATTAAAATGCAATAATATTACAATGGTGGGTTTTGTGAATAGACGTGATTATGATATCCATTACAATGTGTTGATAACATTAATAAACTTACCGGAAACTCACTTTTACATTTGTCCTCCAAATTCCAAGTAAAATGACAAGGAAGTCTTTGTAATTGTTCTTTCATATTGTCTGATGAAGTTGTCATTCTAAAGTAATCAAACAGTAGATTTATGAGTATAGTAACAATGACACAGTACACGTTGAAATGTGTCGAGTTACCAACAGACAGAGATTCAACATCACTGAACACCCGGTAGCTCATGGTAATTTTGGGTGGCCTGTATAAATTGGTTGTCAATGTACCTTGCCTGTACCAACAACCTGTATCAATTAATATTAGGGGGTAAGGGGGAATAGCTGGTACAAGTTACAGGAGATAAAAACGGCATTTTACATTTTTACTGGAAATAAAATGAAAGCTCCATTTATAGTAAAAAATGGATTTTTACATTTCACAAATAAAGCTAATTCCTAATTAC